CCCGCGGTGACTGCGCTGGTAGGGCTGGTGCCTGCGGGCTGTGGGGCTGAGGCCTCGGCGTCCGGTGCGGGCGGACAGGGTCCATCAGCGCGCTCACCAGCGCTCTCTGGACTATGACCACGAGATGACCACGAGACACAGAGGGCCCCGGGGCTCCCCAGGATTTCATGTCTTAGGGCTTCGTGAATCAAAATCTTCCAGGGATCTAACGCACAGCACGGTGACTGTGCCTAACGAAACGGTGCTATGAAGGCGAAGGCTGCTGAGAGCAGGTCTTTGCCGCTCTCACTGCTCACAGGTAACTGAGGCGATGGATAATCAGCCTCACCTATGTGTACGGAGTCATCACCGTACACCCGACTTACACGTTACCTGTCCATGACATCTCCGTGAAGCTGGGGAAATACAACAAACCGAGCTCCTGGGGGCGGGGGGGTCGGGGCGCCTGGATCTCCTCGAAGCCCACCCGGCCTGCACCCCCTTCTCACGGAGCCCCCACCCGCGCTCGGCTCCCTGCTCCGAGGATGGGGCGTCCCAGCCCCCAGGAGCGGGGATTAGAAACGCCGCCTCAACTCCCACCAAACACTGCGCCTCGGTCCCAACTCCACACCCGCACCTCGCGAGCGGGACGGGCCCCAGGCAGAATGGTCGGAGCCTGCGCAGGCCTCACCAGTCCTTCTGCGGCACGTTCTGGTTGTAAATGTGTCCGCTGATGTTTCTGTAGGGCGGGCAGATGCACTTGCACCGGACGTCCTCAGAGCTCTGGAGGGAAAGCACGTATCAGGGATGCCCCGGGGTCGGGTTCCAGCCAGACGCTCAACGCGCAGCTCCCGTCCTGTGAGGGGACCCCGTGAGTGGTCCCGACCTCTCCCCACCCCCAAGTTCAGCAAGGAATAACTTCTGTAGGAAGGACACGCCGTCACAGGGTCCTCGAGACCGGCTGTCCAGGTGGCAAACGAGAGTCACAGAAAGCTGTCATCCCCTTGCAGGGTGCTGCGGGTGGGGGCACGTGGCAAGCACAGAGACAGTCCTCTACAGTCACAGAAAGCTGTCATCCCCTTGCAGGGTGCTGTGGGTGGGGGCACAGAGACAGTCCTCTATCCTGAGCCCACCCTTGGGTGTGCACCTCTGCCCAGCAGTCTTGGTGGCTGGCTTCTTCCCCCCATTCCCTCTCCGACTTCCTGGGTTAGGCTAGGGGAGGTGCGGGGTGGTGAATGAGAAACGGGGGGTTGTTTCTATGGGTTACTCAAGCACCCCTCTCAACCTTCTTCCTCTCTGGACCGGGTAAGGGACACCCACAAATACTCTCATCCCAACTAGGAATTCCCCAGATGGAGTGGACACAAACCCTCTGTCAAAGAAAAGCCCCAGGTCCCGAATGGCATCATCGCTCCTGCTAAAGCTCCATGATCCCAAACCTGGATTGATGACCCCATCTGACTGCAATGCCAGCCTCTCCCAGAAACATCATCTTCATCAACCAGTCTGGGCTTTTCTGGCAGAGCGCCAGGAAGATCACCTGTCACATGGGCCCTCTCCTTGCAACACTGAAAGAGCAACTACATAAAACCCTTCCCCTTCTCACCCCCAAAGCCGAAACGTCCCTGCCCCCAAACAATCCGCACTTGTCTTTTGTCACTAGCTCCCTTGCCCCACCCTTCTTCCTGTATAACCCTCCTGTTTTGTCCAGCCCCTGCGACTGCCTTCCTAGCTGCTAGGTGGCATGCTGCCCAGTTCACACAGCGCTTATTCAGGCCGATGAGATGGTCAAATTTACTCGGTTGGATTTTGTGTTTTAACACCTCAGACCTACTGGAAGCCTTGGAGGCCTTCGGGATCGCTTACTCCACTGGCCTGCCCAAACCTGGATCCGAACCATTTCCGGGGCATCGGGCTGGTCACCCTCCCTGCAGAAACCTCCATCTGTGTGGGACTCCACACTTAGAGCGCATTGCTGCTACTCATTGTCCTATGCGAGTCTCCCTGAGCAGCAGTTATTAATGTCACTGCCCCAAACACAAAATCCCTGCTGGACCCCCTCCCCTCCGCTCGCCCTACCCACAGGGAGGCCTGCGGTCTCGCCCCTGAGGGCACACCCCCAAGGGGAAGGCGCTCAGGGGAGGGGCGGGTTGGGGAGCCCCGTCCACAGGCGGGGAGGGGGGGGAGGTGAGGCGCGCAGGTGCTGCGGGCCCCGCCCACTCACCTTGTTGGCTTGGGCTGGTGGCGCCAGCAAACCGCTGACCGCAGCCACCAAGCACAGGAGCTTCATGCTTGCCAGTCCGGCGGCCGGAAGACCGGACACCTGCAGAAGGGACACCGAGTCGGAAGTGGGTGGGGGCCGCGGCCGGACCTGGGAGTGGAAGGGAGCGGAGGGCTGGGCTTCCGCACCCCGCCGCCAAGTGTTGTGATCCCTTCCCCCGGTCTCTGGGGATACCAGGGAGAAAGAGGAGGCATCCTGGGGCCCCGAATGCCCTCCTGGACCCGCCGAGCCCCGCCCTCCGCCATCTCCGCCCGCTCAGGCCACAGGAGAACTGGGGTGCAGAGTGTGGCTGCCCTGACCCCATGGCCAGGCAGCGCCCGCCACACCCGGGGCCTGGGGTCGGCCAGGACCCCCGGGACCCCTACTACACCGCACCCCTCCCCCACGTCCGACCGCTCGCCTGCGAGCGCCGCCGCCGCAGCCCGAGACCCGGCTGACCCCGCCTCTCCAGGCTTCCATTGGCTGCCGGAGCAGCCTCTCAGCCGCTCCCCTGCTGTCGCCCAGGCAACAAGGCCCGCCTCCTCCTGGGCGCCCAGGCTCCCGCGCAAGGGACCGGGAGGCATTTCTCAACCCCGAGCAGACAAGAAAAGGGAGCGTCGGCCCTCCAAACCTGAAACGGAAGGGGTCCGGCCCTCGTGCGCCTACTGAGCTGCCGCGCTCGGCCCCTCGGATTAAAAAACTCGGGTTTCAGAGAGGAGCAAACTCGCTCCGCCTGGCTGTTTTAAAGAGAAAGCACTTGGTAAACAATAAACTCGCAACTACAACAATAACAATAAAAGCAGATGAAAGGGCTTTGTCCTCACCACCTGGAAATGCTGTTTAGCGATATAAAGGATTTGGGCCAGTTTTTCCAGGGGAAGACAGACTCCGCGATTTGGGGACAGCAGCCAGTGTGGACGCGACGTTGGCCGGACAGATCTACCACTGTGACAGATTCCGCTGATCTCTGCAGGTCTCCCAGATTTCGGTGACATTTCCACAGTCTTAGGAGCAGAGAGCACTTGCTACCCAAAGATTCGTATCACCAAGAAGGGTCAGCGTGATGGAAGTACCTCTAATATATCACATCTAAAGTCAAAAGACAGTTTACGGAGATGTTTGTAGACCGAGGGAGGGAGGGAGGGATGTGGGTGGGCACAGAAGTTTGGACTCACCATTCTACACAAGTGACAGCTTCCTGTCAGAGGATCCTTCATTCGCTTCCAAATGAAATAGAATAGGAAAAGCAAACAAAGAAATCCTCTAAGGTCATCAGCCACGTTTTGAAGGAGGCGGACTTGCAAAATTTGGAAGTGGGTCAGTGTCATCGTCACAAGCAGCCCACACTGCCCTCTGGTGGCCGAGGTGACAGGGCTCAGGCGTGCTGGGGCTCAGGGCTCTGTAAGCAGCAGAAGCCTACACCAAAGGGAGGCGTAGCCTGAGACTTGCCATCAGACAAAGTAAATTCTGTAATGGTCAAAGCTTTGGGGTGCGCTCTCGCAGAAGCCATTGTCTTGGCGTTTCACGCTAGGAAAACAGGCTCATCCCAAGCCCGGTATTTCGGGGAGTGTTCATGGAGCTCCTGAGTCAGGCCCTGCGTCCCAGGACGGAAAATACAGGTGCAGTCACACCACTGGACCCATGGAGGTGGGCCTGGGAAGGGTTGGGATAACTGGTCTACATTCTCGCCTCCTGGGGCACACAGCTGGATGGCATTTCCCTGCTGCCAGAGGATCCCCGTGGGAGAGGACAGGAAGCGATGTGTGATGCGGGACCACTGGCTGCTACGATCCCCCCACCCATGTACACTTCTCTGTGTTCTGTCTCCTCGGGCTGGTGGGAGCAGAGGGGGCGACATCCCAGGGCTGGAGAAGGCACATGATGGAAGAGCTCTAGGCTTGCGAATGGCCACCTGAAGGAAGTCATCTCTCCAGTCTGAACCGCCACCCAGCTCTGCGATGGGGGAACATATATAGTGACATGCTGTGGAAATTTGGGGGGTTATTCAGTTATTCAGCAAAACTTAATATGCCCACGAAAAGCTTAAACCACAGGATGAACTTAAATAGTTATCAATCTGATCTACTTAAAATGACTAAGTCGAATTGGCTGTAACCACTGAGCTGGTCAGTGGGACAGGTCCTCTCCTCTGGTGACTCAGCCACTGTGCCCTGAGCACTACCCGTGCCCGTGACGACAGGCCAGCAAGGCCCCTGCCCTCTGGAAGCTCACGGTCTGGAGCAGAAGGCAGAGCAAACCACGACAAGGAGAGGAAGGGCCGTCCCCAAGTGGAGACAGCAGGTGCCACGCGGAGGGCTGGAGCCGCTGGGTGACATTTGTATTCCCAGCACCAGGAGCAGAGGGAGCCAGCCCTGCGCACACGCGGTATATTTAGCCTGGCGGGAGGTGCCAATGTGCGGAAGCTTGGAGCAGAAGATGTCTGGTCAGAGGGCTGGTTAAGAAAGGAGGTCGGGGGCACCGGAGGGAGGGAGAGTGGGCGGAGATGGGGGCGGAGCCTGGGCCTGGTGCTGGCGACGTCTCTACCGCTGGGTGGCGACACTGCCCCACACTAGGTGGCTTGACTAACGGGCACTTTCTGCAGAGGAGGAAGGCGCGAGAGGTTCGTGCCTTGCTCAGAATCAGGATGCGGAGCCAGCACGGACCCCGCTGTGTCCTCAAGTCTAGGACCTCGGCTGCACTGAGACTTCCCCAGGGACTAGCTGTGGCGAGGTCGCTTCCTCGACCACAGATCCCAGCAGAACTTGAACCCCTGTCACCAGGCATCCATGTTCTAGGGACGGCCCGCCTGGCAAGGGACACTCGACAGTGCCACATGCTCTCTGTGCTGCTCCCACTTCCCGGGGCTCTGGCCTCTGGAAAGGACATAGTGACAATTTTTCCAGAAGGTGTAAACACTGGCCACTTTCGAGAAGTCCTCTTGGGAAACACAAGGGGCCCTTGGTCGGGCCACTCCAGGCCAGGCCACCTCTGTGAGCTCTGTGGGCAGTCCCATCCCCTCACGTGGGGGACGAGGGACGCGAAGGCGGGACCCTCTGGGCAGGAACGGGTTGCTGGGTGGTGCTGGAGGTCCTGTCACCATCACACCCCTGGCTGGCAGGGTGGAGGGGACTTCCTGAGGGCCCCGTATCTGTCCCGTCGGGAATCCAGAGCCCTCAGGCTGTCACATGTCCCCCCTCCCGGAGGTCTGAGCGGACAGTGGTGTGGGTGCGTCTGGGGTGGGGACGCAAGGCCTCTGAAGACCGCAAGGACAGGCTGAGGCTCTCCTCCTGGCTCTGGGCACCGTCTCTACAGAGCTCCACATGGCCACCAGACAGGCGCTGAGCGAGCGGGGCCCAGCTCCGGCCCCCTACGGACAGTAGGTGGCCCACAGCACTGAAAGAGTCCGGCCAGGGTTCGGGGTGAGTGCGGGCGCCGAGCCGACCCGACGGCCGGGCTCAGACAGGTCGGGGTGGGGGTCTGCGTTCCAGGAGCGACTCTGCTGCCCCCACCCCCGCTCCCTCCCAGAGTCCGGCCTCCCAAGCAATCTGGGTCTGCATCTCTTCCCCCGCCGCCCTCACTGCCCGGCCCCTTCCCGGGCCAGATGCAGTCACTGTCCCCGTATTTTCAGGGCCGTCAGGAAAGAGGCTTTTATACCGTTTCTCCTTCGTGCAGCGAGGAGTGTTCGCGGTGCTCTGCAGACCCTCCTGTCTTTAACGCCCCCCGGGTGTCCGCGGTGGCCTGCCCGCCCTTGCACACCTCCCCAGGCTTACGCATCATCCCGATCGGAAGCGAAGCTTTTACCCACAAGGCCACGGGGCTCGCGGCGCATGTCTGTGCTCTGCCATCTGCACGTCCCCGCGGCTACCCCCCAGGACCCTCAGCAGCAGGACATAGCAGGAGGGGACCGGTTTCCATGGCAATTCCACAGGACAGGCCACAGCCGGGCCAGACCGGAGCTGTCTGATGAGAGAGGCCCTGCTCCCTGGCTGAGGCGGGGGATGGGAACAGTCCCGGGGCGGTGGGCGACAGGTAACCCTAACAATCCATGGGACAGCCCTACACCCGAAACTGAGGGGACAGGGGGGACAGGGGGGACAGGCCAAGTTCTTCCGGGGTCACGAAAGGGGGGACATGCAAGTGGGCAGAATTTCAAGGTCCGACAGGGAGGTGGGAGGGGAGAGGTCGGAGCAGGCGCCGAGCTGAGGGGGGCGGGCGCAGGGCCGTGTGACTGTCACAGACGGCAGGCTCCAGGAGGGCGGACGCAACTGGAGGTGAAGCCCCTCGGATCCCACAGCTTTCCTTCCAACGAGTAATAACAGGCCTACTGTGTGCCCCGCGAGGCCTGGGGCGTGGCGTAACCGGGATGGACGTGCAGCGTCCCTCCCTCAGGAGACACATGGGCTGGAGGCCGACCCCCGACCGTCACAGTCCTCCGACCGGAGACGTGCGGGCAGCCGGCCCGGAAGGCTCTGGCCTGTGTGCTCAGGGCGGCTTCTCTGAGGTCGGTTTGCCGAGGACGGGTGCGGTCAGCAGGGGGAGGAGGTCCAGGCCAGCGCCTGGCACCTGAGGAGCCCCCCGTAGGTGACCTGGCCATCGTTGGGGTCCGCGCGTCCGTAGGCACTGCTCCGTGCCCAAAGTCCAGAAGAAGGAGTGGGCCTCGGGGCCCAACTAGTTCCCACAGCCGCCCCTCCGCCCTGAGGGTCAGCCCGAGGTCACCCCCACGCCGAAGCCACAGGAAGGCCCAACAGCGTCCTCTGCCACCTCTGGCAGAGCTCAAGAGAAAGAAAGATTTGCTACGTCATGAGGAACAATCCTCGATCCATCCTAATTTGTCCTTAAAAGGGGAAACGCACCCACCCGGACGCTGGCGCTTGCCCAGTGGCACATGTGACACTTGTCTTAACTGTGTGATGAAAATACCAACAGGATTGAGAACATGATTTTCTTGGAAGACGGACGAGTGGCCGGACCTGTGAATCAGCAAACGAGCACCAGGTGCCCGGGACGTGTCAAGCCCTGTGCTGAAGGCCGGGACAGCCAGCGCCAGGGCAAAAATGGAAAGACTAAATGCCTGCCCCAGGCGCACGAAGGGCGACGGCAGTGCCCTGGCGCTGACCGCGTGGGGCGGCCGGGGGCGGCGGCCTCTGGGCCCTAGCGGGGTCCGCCCTGGCCCAGGGACCCCTCGCTCCGGCCGTCAGGCCCCGCGCGGCCCACCCTGGGAGGCTCTGTGCAGTCCGCGCCCCTCAGGGGACGTGGCGCCCCCGGCTGAGGACATTTCTGTCCCGGGCCAGCAGCGGTCACCTGAGAAGCATGGAGATTACCCCACCAGGCGACAGGCTTGTTGTACAGACACAGGCACAGCTCAGGTTTCCTCCCATGTAATTGACCCCCAAGGGAAACGTGGCCCACCTCCGGGGCACCCTCCTGCCAGCCGGCCGCCCACCCAGCCGCTGAGCCCGGAAGGGCCTGGGGCAGGGGTCTGGGGGGGCTGTCCCTTCCCCTTCCCTTGAGATGCGGCCGTGAGGGCGTCCGCTCTGCAGACCCAGCCCCCCTGCCTGGGCGCGGCTGGCAGCAAAGGGCTGCGGTAACTGAGCTGGCCCCAGTGGGGGTGTCCTGGCCACTGGGCTCCGGGCGCCGGCTGAGCCCTGAGGTCACCGCTGGTGTCCTTGCCAGCTGCCCTGGTCCTGCTGATCCCGGGAGACATAGCGGCACGGAGAGAGTAATCTGCAGTTTACACATACTTCACACTTACGCCTCAGAGAGCACTTGGAGCTGGCGGGGTTGGTGGCTTTAGAGGCTTTCCGCCCCGGCCTCTTGAGGGACCAGCAGTCCGAGCTGCCACTCACCCTGCAAGCCTCTCCCTGGACCTCAGTTTTCCCACCTGCTTGGCGGGGTACAGTAAACTCCACGTACCTCACTACCTTTTAAGGACAAAAGAGAGACCCCAGATGGTGTTTGGTGTGGAAACGGGGCAGAGGCTCCTGTCCGACAATCACACACCGGCCTCAGGTCTTCGCCCCCCCAGAAATGTGGGTTCGTTCTTTAAAAAGTCCGTCATTGATTAGAAGGAAACCAACCCAACCGCTTGGTCAGGGGGGTGAAAGGCAAGTTGGGGGGACGTGGGAGAGGGCTACCAATCGGGGGTCCTGCCAGGGAGGCGGGCTGGGGTGTGGCCGTCCAGACCGCTGTCCTCTGCTGCTGCTCAGCGTGGGAGGCCCGGCGTTCTGAGCCCAGCCCCTCACGGAACAGATGGGGAACCCAGGCCCAGACAGAGTGGGGACCTGCCCCAGGGCACACAGCTGGTGGCAAGGGGCAGCTCTGGGTTCCTCTGAGGCTCGTGGAGATGAGCTTCTCTGACTGTCCCCAAAGGTTAAGGCGTGAGTCCTCTTTCCTAGTGAAGCCGATGTCTCCTACTGTGTCTCTCAGGCTGGGAGAGGCGGGGCTCAGCCTGGGACAGGGACAGCCACCATCTTTGGGGGACAGGCAGGGCGACGGGAAGGGGGCTGCTTTCCGTTACCCCTGAGGCTTGAAAATCAGCCCCAGGAAGGAAGCGGCAGAATAAGTGTCTCTGAGGTGACGGCGGTGGCAGCCACCTCAGAGACACTTGCTCTTCCCAGCCATCCCCCAGGTGTCCCAAGGTGAGCAAGGTGAGTCACAAGTCCTTTAACAAGGCCCCGCTCCCAGCGTCAGGAGAGACGGGGAGGTCTGGGGGCTCCGCTGGCCTTCGGGATTTAGCCCCCTGGCCATGGTGCTCCCTGCAAATTTTTTCAGCAAGGGTTGGTGGGGTGGGCTGCTGGCCAGGTCAGAGGCTCCAGACGTCAGCCCCCCTGACCTCCTCCATGGCTACCCACAGCGCCCTGAGTCTCGGCGTCCGCAGGTCTCTCACTGGACACCCTGGGCCCTCTTGGGTCCACTCAGGGTCAAGACCAGGACTCCAGTGAACTGGCCGCCTGGGCCTCCGTCGGAGTCCTTTCCTTTGGGGCTGGCTGTCTACGGCCTCACCACAGCCCACGGGCAGCGCCGGGCCTGCGACTGGGCGGCTGGCGTCCGTCTGGAATTCAGGGGTTTGTGCCTTTGATGGGGTAACCTCTGAGGTGTTCTCGGGGAACTGCTGGAATGTGCCTGGCTGGCAGCTCGGTCGGGCCTTAGTTATAAGCAAGATGTGTTTACAGGATATTAAAAATAGATCGCGAGCAAATATGTCATTCACTTTCTCGTCCTGGCCCTTGGCCTCCGATCGCATACCTCCCAGGGGACCTCGGCACCAGGGCGTGGTCTGGTCGAGTCCCCGTGACCCCGGGGTCTCCCCAGCTCGCACTGCAGGTTCTTCTAGGCTCTTCTCACCTCGGCCCTTTGCCGTGCGCGCCCCTGGCAGGAACGCCGACGAAGCCATGAACGGCCTGGGTGGCTCGTGAGACGCCAGAGCACAGAGGTTCCAAATGTCCCCCACACGGGCTGGGGCGCCCGCCTGCAGGCGGTTCGGTGGGGGAGACCCACCTCAAGTCTGACATTGGCCTTGGTGGGCGAGCAGCTTGACCCCGGAGCCTGCAGTCCTGAAGCAGGCGCCCTCTTCCCATCCTGCCCACCATGGAGTCACTCGTAAACGTGTGACGTCCTTGGTCCGCGCAGGTCTCTGCCCCAAGGACCCATCTCCTGGCACAGCGCCCAAGGATGCGTAATTCCTGGGCAGGTCCCAGGATGGGGCGCTGTGGGGACAACCAGAGGGAGCACGTCCTCTCCTTGGGGCACTCGTGGGGACTGTGTCCGAATGTGTGTGGGCGAGAAAAAGGGCGAGACACGGGCCCAGCCTGCCGGAGCGGCAGCAGGTGGACGGGCGGGCGGGGCGGCGAGTCCAGGGGAACTAAGCAGGAAGCTTTCCGGCAGAGAAGGGCCTTCCACAAGCTCGGAACAACGGGCGCTCAGCAGAAAGAAAGGGGTCCAGATTCAGGGCAGAGTAAGCGACCTCAAAAGCAGGCTCAGAGGCAGCAAAGGACCTTCGCCTAGAAGAATGAGGATGACGTCCTCGGAGGTACGCTGGACCGGGACGAAAATGCCGTCAGGAGAATTTCCTCTTTGTCCATCAGACAAGGCAAGCGGGGAAGGACTCATGTCCTTAAGACCGAGCTTCCTGGCACCAGAGGTGAGCGTGCACACGCGTAGCACATGGCTCCGATGGCGCGCATAGCACATGGCCCCGATGGCGCGTGTAGCACATGGCCCTGGCGATGGCGCGCGTAGCACATGGCCCTGGCGATGGCGGTCCCCTCGTCTCCTCTCTCACTTCTCTGACCAAATCTCCCACCTCCCCTCTGCTCGAGCCACTCCCGGCTCAGGCCCCCAGGGGGTAAAACACGGTGCTTCAGGCGGGGTCCGACCGATTCCAGTAACACCGCCAGCCTTTTTAATGAATGAGGAAACTGGTGTGCAATCAGTTTTGGAGCAGGCTGCAGCCACGTGAGGAGGAGATGTGACTACGGTTGCAAATTATAGCTGTAACTATTTGCATAGTCGCAAATCCTGGTGTAGACCCTCCCGCCCCCACCTGCCATTTCTTCTAGAAGATCGTAAATGTCCCCCGGTGTAGACCAGGAAAAAATATCGTTGGCAGCTCAAGTCTCTTCCACCAAGCGCCCCTCGATTTTTATTTCTTCTTAGACTGTGGTCTTGGTCCTTTTAGCCTAAGCTCATTTTCTTTCTTTAAATTCTTGTGCTACCCGCAATGTCAGGGCAATTTTTCAACCCCGTGATGTGTGTAGAGAAAGCTGAGGGTGACCCCGAGGAGGCCTGAGGCCACGTCTGCTTCCAGCCTCCCGCAGAGAGGTGGCTCAGGGCCGGTTCAGGAGGCACCAGGGACGGCCAGCCTTGTGTGGTCAGTGGCATCGTCGCGGGGGCCGGAGAGAGGCCCACCAGGCAGGGGACATCTCCCACTCATGTGGCTCGGCTCACACCAGGCGACGAGAAGAAACGGCGGGAGGGTCTGAAACGGCAGCACGCACGCGAACACAGAGTCGCCGCGTCCAAGGCGCGCACGAGGCTGGACCGAGAGCAGCCCTCGGGTCCGCGGGCTCCCTGCTCCGTGGAGCCACCGCGCTGGCGCCCGTCAGCTGGTTCCTGCTCGAGTTCCTCCAGGAGCACAAGCCAGTCACCAGGCGGCAAAGCCTTTTTCCGCCTCGGGCATTAACGGGCCCAGCCGCTCCTGTCAGTCTCCCAGGGGCCAGCGTCTAACGACCTCGGCTGACAGGTGGCCCCTGGGATGGTCTGTGGTGCAGCCCAGACACTGCCCGGGGCATTTCCCAGAATCAACTGCAGGGAGAGTGGAATGCAGGGGACCTTTAGGGAAAGGGAAGTAGGGACGGGGGAGGCGCACGCTCTGGGTCCTGAGGTCCCTCGTAGATGCTGGCTGGGCATCTGGAAGAGACAGCACCAAAAGGTGTCACTGAGCTCACCGTCCAGATGGGTCTATCACCCATCCTTGTGACGGCTGCCGAGTGTCCCCGGTGGGATTTTCAGGTCCCTTTCTCCTTTTTCGGAGGGGTCTCCCTCCCTCCCTCCCTCCCTCCCTCTCTTTCCTTCTGTGCCTTGTTCTCCAGCAGAAGGCTCCCAGGGGAAGCGGACAGGGCTGCCGTCAAGACGACCTCAGTCTCTCGTTTTACAGGTGGGAGAAACCCAAGCGCGGGGCGTGAAGAGACTCACACCCGGCACGGCCACCGCATCCGTCAGGGCTCCCTCTGTGACCTTCGCCTCTCGCTGCCCGGGCCCCGCTCTGCGAAGTGCAGACAGGACTGTCACCTTCCGGGACGGCTGTGGGAGGAAAAGCGCCCTCTGTGTGGCCCAGCGTGGCGTCTGGCACCAGGTCAGGGCACTTCATTATTTTCCCAGTGAAGGTCATGGCCACCTGGCCGTGCCATCACTCACTGGACCCTGGCCGGCTGCGGCTCGCACCTCCTGGAATGTGGGCTTCGCTGTGGGAAAGGGCTCAGACGTGCGTTTGGAGCCACGTCTGAGAAATGAAATGGGCAGGAACCGAAGGCAGCGAGAACGTGGGAGAGAGCCAGGAAAAGGGCGTTTATCCGAAGTCACACGTCCTCACGGCGTGGCTGCCCCCACTCCCCGTGGAGGCAAGAGCCTCGCGTACCCCCAGACGGAGCCGCCGCTCTGGCTTGTCGTGACTGCTGACCTCGACGGGTATTTCCTTTCTGCTCTGGTGTCTGCGTTTGAGAATATTTGATTACTCGATGGAGTTGTAACAGTTGGCGTCTCAAATCCTGGTGGTTTTTTTCTGAACCAAAACTAAACAAGAGGAGCGGCTTGGACTGCGACGGACTGGACTCCCTGTGTGTCTTTGAGCACCAGCCACTCCGTCTCTGTGCCGAGTTGGGAGGGCGGTGGCTTTGGGGTCTGTGTAACAGCTTGGTGACGATGCGGTCTTGGCTGATGCAAGGAAGGGTCCCTCTGTTCACCCGACACCCCGACCCTCAACGTTCAGGCCCCAGCTTCGAGGCCGTGCTGCCGAGGGGGCTGTGTGAGTCCCGTTCTGAGCCTCCTGTGCCTTCAGTTGGCACATTCTCCAGTGTCATCCCACAGAGACGGGTGGGCACCCTCTCTGTCCCCATCACAGCTACGAAGAGGCCTCCAGATACGCCCTCTTAGAATCAGCACGAGTGGTGGGGAGACCGTGTCACCCCAGTTAGTCAGGGGGACCACCTGCAGATTCTCGGGAAGGGGGGCATTCATTCGAGGAATGAGTGACAAGCACTGTCCTCAACGCGGTAAACAAAACGAATTACTCTGTCACGGGCTTTGCATTTCCAAGTGGGGCGAGCGCCGGCAAACGGGCACAGGGCAGACCCACCTGCTCTCAGTAAGTGCCAGCCGCTTCGCTTTGGATGATCACGGAAGGTTCCGGTCGAGGGACGAGGGGTTGCAAGGCGGAAGGGCACCTCCCTGCAGCACAGCTAGGAAACCATAAATGCGACGATTAAACGACACGGTGGGACCGGGGGCCCCGCAGAGCCCCCACTGCGGGTGCTGGTGCCGGTCCCCATCTCTCCCGGCACAGTGAGCTGGCTCTCCAGCCAGCCACAGCAGCAGCAGACGCCATTTGCTGGTGACCCGACAGCGGAGACGGGGACTCTTGGAGGACTGGGCTGGGCTGCTGTCACGAGGGGGTGACAGGGGCTGTTCCCCACGCCCTCTGAGAGCAAGGGTGGTCTCCCGTCCAGTCCCTAGGGGCAGAGTGTCTCCTCCAGGTCCTCAAGTGGGAGACCCAGCCGCCCTTCCTCCCCGTGGCTGGGTCTCCCAAGGACGCGAGGCGCCCAGCAAGCCCGGGCCTAGCTCCCCGCCCAGCCCGCGGCCCAGGCCCTCCCGTGGCGTCCGGCTTTGGCCCGGTGCCCCACGGCCAGGCCGTCGGGCACGGATGGCGTTTCAGCCTGATCTTTACCATCAGCTGCTGGGAATTTGAGAGGTCGGTGCCAGAGGGAGGACAGCTGGACATGGGGAAGGAGCCACGGCGTCCTTGGAGGGCGTCACGGCAGAGGGGTTGTGTCACGGGCGTCACCCCCAGGGTCCTGTCTCTGCCGGCCAGTGGGAGCGAGCGTTCCCAGGGACAAGTCCTGTCCGCATCTGGGCCGCGATTTCCACCTAAGGTAATGAAGGCAGGGACTGGCTCCCCTACTCCCAAAGGAACACGCAGCAGGAGCTGGCATGGGGGTATGCCACCAGCAGAGGCGGTGTGACAATGTCACCACCGACCCAAACCAGGGCGCTGGGAAGGACCCCTGGAGAACGGGCAGAACGCCCTGTCCCTGGCTCGAGTGGCAGCCTGGAAACGTCCAGAAGGGGCTGGACGGAGGCGTGGGCAATGCCTCAGAGCCACGCCAGCGTCCGGCCCAGGACCGCCACCCGACCGAAGGGTCCCCCTCCGTGCCAGGCACAAGGAACATCACTGTTCCAGGTGACGGAGGCTGTAGGACGGAGGACGGGGTGGGCGGAAACCGCCTGACCCACCCCGGTCCCTTGGGACCCTGAAATCCCCACCTTTCCGCGACGAGAGCCCCCAGGGTGGCCTGCGGGCCGTCTCCAGGCCTCAGGGAAGAAGGCAGATTGCATCCCGCCGCCCTCCAGCGTAGACAAACTTCACAGCCCTGAGGTCGGAGGTCGCGTTCTCTGGTGCCCTCCAAAGCCACCTCGCACTGCGCCCCCCAGCCCCACAGCTCCCGGCTCCCTGTCGCTCCCTCTGGCACGGGGATGGGGGTGGGGGGCAGCCTGGAGCTGGCCGGCTGACATCCATCTGCGCCGCTGGACTGCAGGCCCCACGGGGTGGCCTGCGGCTTCCTCTCCTTCGTGTCCCGGGTCGACATGGGGGTGAGGGAGACACCCGTACGCCCACAAGCGTGCAAAGACACGCACACGCGCACACGCGCCCCCGAGCGTGCGGTCACATGGCTCCCGAGAGCACACGCGGATCTGGCTCCGTACGAATGAGGACGTGTGACTCTCCTTGACCTGCTTTCTCCTGCCCACTGCATATCGCTAGAGTCCTCAGTCACGTCTGGCTCACAGAGCACACGCGGATCTGGCTCCGTACGAATGAGGATGTGTGACTCTCCTTGACCTGCTTTCTCCTGCTTCGCGTGAGTCCTCAGTCACGTCTGGCTCATTGGTGGCAAGAAACCAGTTCTCTGTCCTCAAGGAGAGAACAGGTGTCTCTCCCCAAGCCACAGACCAGGTGGCCTCAGCACCTCGTCTCCCTCTGGGCCTCACCTGCCCTCCACTCTGCTTCAGAAGAGCTGTTATGAGCCGCCCTAGTCCCGGTTCCCAACTCCCCCCGATCCATCCAACCAACTGCCCAGCTGGTCGGGTCGCCCCTTCGACCCCCAGAAAGCTCACCTCATCCTGGGAGGTCTCCTGGCCACGACCTACGGCACAGCCTGAGACGAGGACCCCATGTCTGTCTGGGTCTGTGACTGTCTCTCAAATGTGTGGCCCGTTTGGTGCTGCTTTGGGTTGTGATTCCCACGAGGGCAGTGGCTCTGTGTATCTGTGAGACCTGTGGTGTCCTGGGTCCCAAGGGATCAGCCTAGCTGACAGACTAAGGCTTCGGATGATGACAACACCATCTAAACAAGACTTAACTAAGCCGGTCTGGTTAAGAGCGTGAAGCTCTATGAGACAGGGCAGGGGCCTTGGAGGGCCGATGTCCCGGGACCGTCCGCCTCTGACCTCGGAGGCCCTGCCAGGCGGGGGAGGAGGGAGGCGGGGCCGGTGGGAGGGGCAGAGGGAGCGAAGAGGCTCCGCGACCTACATCTGTCCCAGCCCTGCCTATCTCGGCTCAGTCGCCACAGCCCCTGGAAACTGGGAGGGGAGCCGGCAGGAGGCTGGGGGCCGGCTGTGCGCCCAGGTGAGCGGGCCCTGCACACCTGGCTTCTCACCGGGCAGGGGGAGAGCACAGGTGGAGATGCCTGAGTGCTCTCTGACCTTTGCACCCAAGACGGGGGCGGCGGAGGGCACGATCGGCCGGACGTCCCCTGCAGGGAGGACTTCGGTGACCCTGTCTCAGTGCTTCTGTCCTGGCTCTGATTTTCTCGGCTTTGCTTGGCCTAGAGTGCGAAACCATGGCCAAGCCACAGATCTGACCCGCGGCCTGGAGCGGGGCCGGCTTGACCCCCAGCACGGCCAGCGCAGCCGAGGGGGCCCCGCCTGGCTCTCCCGGCCTGGAGACCGCCCAGCCGAGGGGCCGGAGGCAGCAGGGACCTGGGCCCAGGGGGCGAGCAGCGGTGAGGGCAGGGGTGGAGGCTCGGGTCCAGGGCGGCAGTCTCGCTGTAAAAGGCTGGGGGGCCGGGGGGGGCGGTGCGGCACACAGCTGCTGTTCGGTGCTGAGAACCCCGGCTCCTCTGAAAGGGGGTCACGCGGGCGAGAGTCTCCGCTGCCGCCCGTCTCCTCCTGCTAGAGCTCATCCCTGCCCTTGCCAACCAAGCAGAGCTCTTGCCCGTGTGCCATTGACCTTGCACCGAATCTGGCTTCTTCCTGGAGGAAACGGAGGTCCCGAGGCGGGGATGGCGTAGCAGGGGACCCCTGAGTCCCCGTGGGGTTCTGCCCTCCTCACCCTTCACAGCCGGGACCTGCAGGCGGGAGGTGGAGGAGAGGGCTGACTTAGTGTCCCTTCTTCACGGGTGACAAACAGCCACATACTGACAGAGCCGGGAGTGACTCAGAGAGCAGTGTAGAACTTCGCCGGGTGGGGTCGGGGGCGGGTGCCAGACGCCGTCCTGGGGTGTGGGTGGGACAGAGGCCCCTCGCCGGCCAGCTTGGCGGCCGCTGTCCCTCGGCCCTCCCGCGTGACGCCCTGCCGCTGGGCCCCGTGACATTCCAGCGCCCTGGGGGGCCGCGGCCGGGCTGTGGCGGGGACGTTGTGGGGCCAGAAGTGCCGGCGGTGGGCGGTGAAACGGGAGATGCCGAGTGGGAGGAATGTGCCCTGTCATGTGTCCATTCTGAGGACCGGGCTCTTTGGGAGGAAACGGAGTCTCCGAAACGAAATGCCATGGCCACAGGCCAACCACGGCGGGGCGGGGGACTGCAGAACCCCCTCCCCTCCAGTTCAGGGCTCTCGCCCCAGCCCGGGGCCAGGCCGCCCCTCTGCTGGGGGTCACGCCCCTGGGCCGCAGTGGACCATGTGACGGAGGGCGTGAGGGCCGCGGTGGGCGTCGGAACAGGCTGGGGGGCTCCCGTGTACCTGCCGTATAACTCGCCGGTCCCAGAGGGGCAGGCGAATTCATGGGGACCCCACCGTCTTGGGCCGACGAAAGCTGATGAGCAGCCAGCTGGGAGTTCTCCCTGCAGACCCGGTGGTTCGGAGGGTCCAGTCTGGCTGGGAGGGAGACGCTGCTGGCCCCTCCGGAAAGCCTGTTTGTCCCCAGGAAACTGAGTCTGAAGTCGAGGGGGCCAGGCTGTTGGAGCTAGAACCCCGCACGCAGGAGCTTGATTCCTGCGTCTCGCCCTTTGCACGGTCTTTGGCCTCGGGGCCCAGCAGGAGGCCAGGCCACCCGCAGGCTGCAGGCTCAGCCCCAGCTTCCTTCACCCGGGAAAGGCAGCCTACCCCTCCACGTCTCGGGACGTGTGTTGTGCTGGGGCCAGGGAGCTGCAGGAGGCCAGTCAGTGTGGTTAGCTGGGGTTGGACAAGCTCTGGGGGCAGAGCGACTCCACCAGGCCCCACCCGGGACACTGGCCTGGGCGCTCACTGAGGCTGTGGGAGCGGACACGGGGGAGACCAGCCCACCTCCCAGAAGCAATTCCATCCTCTATTCTCAGGAGACCAGTCGCCGACCTCGGAAGCCCTAGAGAAGGCAGGCCATGGCAGGTGAGAGGCTGACCGACCACCTCGGCCCTCGCTGGGTGGGGGCGGGGAGGGCGGGGCTCGGGGACCTGGAGCTCACCTGTCTCTGCTTCCTCCAGCTTCCGGTGGGTTTTGATTGGTTTTCCAGAATGAAGGGTGCAAAGCCCCCTGGGGAGGAAGGCTTTCCCAGTCCCCCTGCTCCTGCTCTTCCCCAGGGCCCCCCTCCAGGGTCTCCCCAGGGTGCCCCGCCCGCTCCCCAGGGCTCCATCCCCCCTGGAGGCCTCGCCCAGGCCCCACCCAGGCCCCAGAAGTGCAGCTCAGAGGCAGGAGAGCGAGCAGGGGCCCTTGCTCCCTGGTCAGTGGGTCGGGGCTCCACGGTCGGGGGCGCCCGTGAAGGAGGAGCCAGGGCCCATCTTCCTTCCGCCCCCTCCCAGGGAAGACCCCCAAGAAGTCCTCCTCGTATGGGGTGAAGATCCAGCAGCTGGTGGAGGAGATTCCAGAAGGGTGCAGCACACCTGACTTTGAGCAGAAGCCCGTCACCTTGGCGCTGCAGGAGGGTGAGGCCCGGGCGGGGGGCTGCCGAGAGGGGCGCCCGCTCCCCGCCTGCGGCACGCGGCTGGGGGGCTGGTGTTCTTCCTGACCCACCTCCCCGTCACACCTGGGAGCAGTGACAGGGACAGAGGACGCCGGATTGGGGGCCAGGGACGCTGTGGCATTTCTGGTACCTCCCTCTCCCTGCCTCCAAGGAGCTGCTGCAGGGGGCACGGCTCAAACCGCGTGAGTTAGGTTCAAACCGGGTGAGTAAGGCACCTGGGAGCAGTGACAGGGACAGAGGACGCCGGATTGGGGGCCAGGGACGCTGTGGCATTTCTGGTACCTCCCTCTCCCTGCCTCCAAGGAGCTGCTGCAGGGGGCACGGCTCAAATCGAGTGAGTTAGGTTCAAACCGCGTGAGTGAGGCTCAAACCGCGTGAGTTAGGTTCAAACCGCGTGAGTGAGGCTCAAACCGGGTGAGTGGGGGCCCTCCCGGCCGTTGCGTCCGGCGGAGTCGGGGTCCTCCCGGCTGTTGCGTCCGGTGCCCATGCACCCCCAGCACCCACAGGCTGCGCTCAGGAAGGCCCGTCTGGAAGGCTCCGTGAGGCGGTGCCCGGGGGGGCAGTGGGGGCGCAGGCTGTGGGCGGGGGGTATGAATCAGTGTGCTTTCTCAGCACAGGCCCCTGCAGTAAGTTTCAGGTACGGCCTTCTGGAAGGAAACCGTGACACATTGTCTAAATCTGACTCCGGGTCCACACAACGAGGCCGTGGGAAACTTCAGGGGGAGGGCCCCGGGGTGCTGGTCAGCTCTCCGCTGGCCGGTCCTCCAGGGCGGCAGCTCC